CATGATAACAAAGTAACATTTGAGCACACTGTAGAGTTTTTCAGAGGCTGTAGAATATAGGATAATGTGATGGATTGAAGACAAATGCAGGTATGAGAACACTTCTCTTCAACTGAGAAGATTAAGAAGCTTTTGCACAACCACCAAAAGAAAAACCCTACTTTAGGTGAGGTTAAGGGCTAGAGTTTCACTAATTCAGCAGCTTGAAAACCCTTCCTCTGGTAATTGCTGTCAGTAAAACGGGTCCTCAAGACATGCAATGGAGAGAGACACGACACCACTAATTTATCCGGGAAAAGCGCACTTTAGTCAGAAGTAGAGGGAAAGAGGCACTTGGAAGAAGCAAAATTTGTGGAAAATAATAGTTTCCACTTCAAAACGTTCTGCTTATTGTCAAGCTTTCTATAGTTTTAACTTTACATTTTCTAAGGCACCATGCACAGTAAAAAAAGGAGTAAGTTCCAAAAGGAAAACGAAAACTGAAAGATGCTCTGAGTTCTTTAAAATCATTAACATCTTAATCATCTAGCTAATTGACGATAAAAGTTACAACAACCTAGCAATCATTTATTCCCTCAGAAAAGCTTAGTCGTCATTTAATCATCACAGCACGAACAAAATAAGAAAGTATTCTTATTATCAGAGATTCAATTTACAGATAGGAGTTTCAGCTTTGGAAGACAATGTGTTAAAGTCACACCAAAGATAAGTGTCTAGGCAGTTCCCTGGACCAAAAAAATACTCATTCTTCTTAACTTAACTTACCATGTTTAGGCTTCCAGCTTTTATCTATTTGCGGTTTTGTGTTTGTCTTGGGTCCACACTCAGCTGTGCTCAGGGAGTTCTCTTGACTCTGCTTTAGAGGATCACTCTAGGTGAAACTCAGGGACCACGTAGTGGGCCAGTGATAGAACCTGAGTTGACCCCATGCAGAGCAAGCATGCTACCCACTGTACTATCATTCCAGCCTTTAGCTTTTGATTACTTTATAATTTATTGTAACAAGTTGATTGTTGTTTATTGCTTTGAGGTACAAAATAGCTGCACTTTCAACAGTACCAAAATGCCCAAGGTCCTCAAAAAATTGTCTTTCTTAAGCAATTTATAATAGAAAAACTAAAACTGTGAGAAATTAATTTTTAAAGATAGACTTCTGTATAAAATCATTAACTTTGTTATATTTGGTAGATTTTTGAAAGAACAAAAAATGCCTAGCATATGAAATTATTTCAAAAATTCTCTAAAAATGGTAAGAAAATTTTTATTTTGTGTGTGATAAATCCTAAATTTCTCTAATTATCTCAAAATAAAAACTTTTTCCTACCACATTTACTATAATATCAAACTATTAGTGTATTACAATGTACATACACTGATATGAGCATTTTGCAGCATTATTAAAATATTTAACCATTACTTTTAATATTGTATAACTTTGTATTTAATACTACAATATGACTTTCATAGTTATAATTCTTAGCTAGAATAAAATATATTTCTTAAATGTCAGCCTCTATAAATATTGCTAAGACGAATGTCTTCAAGCCTATTTCCTTCAATGAAACGTAAATTCTTCTAAAATTTTTAGATCACTATTAGGCATAGAGATAGCAGTAACTAAGAGTATTCACTGCATCATGTACTTACTTATTTCTGATTAATTTAATTAAAACAATTTTGCTTACTCCATGCCCTTTAAAATTATGAACATAATGTTTTCTTCATTTCAGTCATTAAATATTTCAAATGTATTCTTTTTCAATTTTATTAAGCTATAAAAGACAAAATCATAAAATATTTAAACCGCAATATGATTATATATACACACATATATATGTATATACATATATATATAGTGAAAGGATTCTCCCAAACCATTTAGTTAATTGCCTCATTTGTCACCTCATTTATTTTTTACCATTTCCAGTTTTGATTTGTTTTTATTTTTTGCACTGTCATCTTATTCAGTGAAAAACTTAATCTGTTTGTAAATTTCAATTATTCAATACAATGTTATAAACTAGTCACTGCTTTTAACTATCAATTAGCCCCTCTGACTTTATTCTGTTTATAATTGAAAGTTTGTACTCATTTGCAAACCTCTCCATTTCCTCCAACCCCTAACAATCACTTTTTGCTCTTTGATTCCATGAGTATAATTGTCCACATATATGTGGTGGCATATGGTTTTTATCTTCTACTGTCTGGATTATTTAATGTAGTCTAATGCCCTCTGGTTTATTGACAGCAAATATGTTGAATGACATGCCATCGTTTTAAATATAATTTCTCTATCTCTTTGTGTGTGCACACAAAAAAACATCATATTATATAAATTAAATCACTGCCACAGATTTTTCCCCATAAATTGGCTATTGTGAATACAATTGGGGGAAAAATAGAGGGTGACATTGTCTCTTCAAATTGTTTTCTTCCCTTTAGATAAAGACATAGAATTTCTACTGATGCCCAAAATGCACTTGAACTTTTAATACCTTGAACAGCTTCTAACCCATTGCTTGTTTTTTCTGATAATGACATCCTAACAAGTAAGAAGTAAAATTTTACTATAGTTTTGATATATATTTCTGTTGTGTAATTTTGTTTTATCCTTTCTCCCTCACTGCAAGGAGTTTAGGTCTATTGAGAAATACCCATCACAATGCTTCCAAAGCACTCCCATTATCTTTATTTATTTTTATTTTTATTAGTGAAACACCATGAGGTACAGTTGTAGACTTACAAATTTTTGTGCTTGGGTTTCAGTTATACAATGATCGAGTACCCATCCCTCCACCAGTGCCCATTCTCCACCTCCAATGCCCCCAGTATCCCTCCCCCACCATGCCCCCCATCCTACCCCATTCCTGTGGCAGGGCATTCCCTTTTGTTTTCTCTCTCCTTTTAGTGCTGTTGTTTTGCAAAAGAGGGATTGAGTGGCAATGATGTTCGGTCTATATTCTACTTTCAGCATGCATCTCTCATTCTGGGAGGATCCTCCCAGCTTCTCCCATCCTTCCCAACTTCTCCTGTGTGCTCTGCTTCCCCATCTGTCAATCACTCATTTCGCCTAATCAGAACCTATGACTTAAAAAGTCAGATTCCTCAGAGATCTTGGATTTTGTATTTGTAAGTGAAATATTGCTTTGCTCTTTCTTTTATGTCATTTGCAGTTTACTTTGGGCATTGCCCTTTTTGTACACACACAGGAAGGCAGTTAATGCTATCCTTTTTTAACTTGGTAGCTGATTGACTCCAAATAATATTAACTCCTGGGCATCTGTCATATTAACTCAACTTAAGCCTTGGTTGCCCTTAGTTTCTAGCACCCCAAAAGCAGGGTCCCGATGAAGGAAATTGAATGGACTTTGTGATACCCTGGCATCACAAAGGAACAGGCCAAGAGTCATAAAATGTATCAGTGAAGAGTATGATCATGGACAAATTTGTCAAGACCCATAGAGAAGTGACTGGATAAGGACCCTGCTGGGGTTAGGAAAGATTAATCTGGCCTGAGGAGTGTAGTTTAGGATATATAGTGAGATGTCCCCAGTAGAGCACCCTATAAATTTAGTATATCTCTTACTGTGTCCATACAAAATGTCTAGAAAGATTATTAAGAAGTATATTTAAGGTGATTGTTCAAATGGGTATGGACTAAGGAAAGGAATGGGTGAGACTGGAAGAAGGCAGAGGAAGACTATTTTGGAATAAATGGCAATTGATCACCAACCAATATGGCCCCCATTTCCTCCTTCTTTCATCATCTATCACTGTAGGCCATCCAGGGTGGGAAAGCAGCCTGACCACTGAACTCACCAGGTGAGCACCCACACATTTTTTTGAACACACACAAATTTCTTTGATGATTAGTGATGTTCAGTACATCTTCCAGTGCCTGCTGGTTATCTATATATCTTCTTTGGAAAAGTTTCTACTCGACTCTTCTAACAGTTTTAAAATTGAGTTCGATTTGGGTTTTGTTCATTCTGATTTTTTTACTGTTCAGTTGCAAATGATTTTTGATTATTTTTCTACTATCTAGTTATTTTCATTTCATTTTTTTCATCATCCTGTTATTCGTCGATTGCCTCGAGCAGGCCCCAGTAATGTCTCTTTCATCCTAGCCCTGAGATTATATTCAAGGCTCTTTAGGAGAATGAGACCCATCATAGTTACTGGTATTTGGCATATTTGGTACGCCACGGGGAGTTTGCCAGACTCTGCCCTGTGGGCAGGCTACATTAAATAGCCTGCAAGTTTGTCCTTATGATAAGATGTCCGGCAGCCGAAGACCTCCAGGACCAGCCACCGCCATGCTGAGACCACTCTCCGCACACATGAAGGTACTGGCAGAGGGACAAAGCCACGTGGGTTCCGGGGCCGAGACCTCCAAGCCTTCTCGGATTGGAGTCGAGCATCTTCCACCCAGATCCTCCAAATTCCAGTAGGCGGGGGTCACACCCACCACCTGGCCCCCTGGCGCCATGTAATCCCATCAGCGGCCAAGACTCAGAGACTATAAAATCCAGATCCCGGACGAGAGCAGTGCAGTCTTCTGCCCCCGCGCCTGGGTGTTCCTTCCCGGGGCCCCTTGGAGGGGAGCGGGTTGAGCTTTCCTCCCCGCCCCGACCAGGGCTCCGGCAGCCGAAGACCTCCAGGATCTAGTTATTACATAAATGATTTCCTAATATTTTCTTCTGTAGTTTAGTGTTTTTTTTTTATTTTACTGTTTTTTTTTTCTTAAGTGAAACACCATGAGGTAAAGTTGTGGACTTACAAGTTTTTTTTTAATTTTTATTAGTGAAACACCATGAGGTACAGTTGTAGACTTACAAATTTTGGGGCTTGGGTTTCAGTTATACAATGATCGAACACCCATCCCTCCACCAGTGCCCATTCTCCACCACCACTGCTTACAAGTTTTTGTACTTGGGTTTCAGTTATACAATGATTGAGTACCCATCCCTCCACCAGTGCCCATTCTCCAATACCAGTGAAAAAATATGGAATGCTTCACGAATTTGAGTGTCATCCTTTCACAGGAGCCAAACTAATCTCTGTATCGTTCCAATTTTAGTATATGTGCTGCCGAAGCGAGCACTGATCTTTCCCTTTTTGATGAAATTTTTTTTTCATTTGATGTATCCTAACAATATATTTTTGCTTCTGTAGCTTATGCATTCAGTGTAAAATCCAAAAATAATATTGCTGAAGCCAATATCAAGGATTTAATCATTCATGTTTTCCTCTAGGGGTTTTATATCATTACATCCATTATAAATTCTTGGTTTCGTTTTGGGAGCTATATACAGTAATGCTCAGAGCTTACTCCTGGCTTTGCACTCAGGAATGAGTAATTGACTCACGAAAGGGCTCCAAGGATCATATGTAGTGCTACGGATCGAACCCACTCAGTCACACACATTGTAAGGGCCTATTTCCTTTGTCTCCATTACCAATTCTTTCACCGATTCTAAGTTGCTATTGTGAATAGTGTGTGAGAGTGGTACAGTTTCATCCTTTGGAATGTAGTTATTTCGTTTTTCCAATATCTAACTTAAGCATTAATGAAAAGACTATCTGTTGCCCCTGTCATACTTCTAACTCTTTTGTCAAAAGTTAATTACACAATTATGCATATATTTGGGGTGGTTTTATTAATCCATTGATCAGTCTGGTTTTTTGTGTGTGCGATATGATAGTGTTTTAATTACTACAACTTTTCAACATGTATTTAAATCAGAAAGTGTGATAGCATGCCAGAGAGTTTACTGAGTGCATTGTAGGCAGGAGGCTGTATTTTATCACTGGCAACAAATGATCCCAGGAGCAACCTCTGAGCTTGACCTAGAGTAGCACCCAAGTGCCTCACGAACATTCAAAAAAAAAAAACAACAGGAAGGAAGAATGTTTAATGCTTCCAGTTCTGTTCTTTCTCATAATTTTTTAATCTTTTCTTCCTTTTTGGTTTGAATTATATTTTTGCTAATTAATATAGTTTGGACTCCCAGCTATATTAAAACAGCTAGGACAGGCTAAAATGCATATGGTGAGGGTGGGAATCTAGGCTTGGTTTTCATCTTTGAATAAAAGCTTCCAGCTTTTCATCGTTGAATATGATGCTAGCCTTAAATTTTTTTATGTCCTTAGTATGTTCAATCATGATTCTGTTTTACTTTTCTACTATAATGGAGTACAATTTATTTTTACCATTTGAATTTTTCTTTGATTTAATATTCTCCCTTCAGGTTGGAACGATAGTGCAGAAGATAAGGGGCTTGATTCTTAAGTTTCTTGCAAATAACTCTAGTTCTGCCCTAAGTACAAAAAACAATCACCACTGCATCTGGTCCCCTGACCACTACCAGGAGTGATCCTGAGCACAGAACTAGGAGTAAACCCTGAGCTCAGTGAGGTGTGATCACAAAACTTAAACAAAAATAAGTCTCCCTACTTAACATATATTTTACATTTATGTTGTGTTTGTAGGAAATAAAACTATAACACAAAGTTGAGCAAAGCTTATTGTTCCATAATATGTACTTCTCCGTAAAGTACTTCACATTCTTCTTGCACTTAGAATATTTAACCAGTGAAATCACCAATAAAATGGACAAAAATTCAAAAATAACATCTATATGGACTACAAAAAGGTGAATTACTTGTAACATAAAAATAAAAACAAAAGATAATCACTAAACTCAACTAGGAGTATGTGCATTGGAGAATACAATATTTTTTCCATTCTATACATAGTTCTATACATAGCCACAAATTATCACAAAAACATGCTGTGCATTGATTTGGGGGACATTGAGTAGATAAATTCACAAGTTGTAATATATGAATAATGAATATTGATTATATTCTTTTTATCCAGTTGATTTTTAAAAATTGTTATTAATCATCATTACATTCTTTTTTATTATTGTGTAGAATAAGAAAAATTGCTGATCTTGTCAGCATTTCCATTGACATTTTCTTATGAAGAAATTGACTAAATATTTAGAAATTTACTATTATTTAATTTCATTTACTAATGATTTCAATCTTCTCAATTTAAAGCTTAGCTTTTCCTGCTTATATCCCAATTAATACATGGCGAATCAAGTGTTATTTTTACACATTAAATGAGAATGTTGTAAGCAAAGAAAGTAAATGTTAACTATTTCAAGTCAATTGTAGCTTTTTTGAAAAAAAAAATAAACTTATAAAGTCGTGGAATAGATTTAGGAAGCTGGATGAGCTCTATGAGAACTAAACAGGCCAATATAAGTGAGAGCTATTTTGCTAGCTTATCCACCTGGGAAGTTTAGATTATTTTCTTTCACCTGGGCTTTATTATAGTTGCAGAAAAGAACTCCAACCAAATATTTCCCTCATCTTGGTGTAACTCATTCCAGGATCAAAATATAGGACATTAAACCTACTTGAATATATCAGGAAATGTGTTCTTCCCACATCACAGGTTTGAAAGGAAAAATAGTTCCTCTACTTCACCTTAGATAAGAGAGAGACAGGACAAATCCCATCAACAGTAGAGCATATGCAGTGGGAAATGATGGTTTACCTGGATGAGAAGACTGGACAGGACTGAATGTAGTGTCTGTGTGTGTGTACATATATCACTTAATCACTTAATCCCCGTTATTCATCGATTTATTCGAGCGGGTGCCAGTAACGTCTCCATTCATCCCGGTTGCGTGCTAGCGTAGCCCAATGGTATCTGTTCGTTTTAGGAACATGTAGAGCCTCAAACCGATCATTTAGGGTCTTGACGAAGAAGTCTGACCATCTTATAGGTGGGCGTCCACGTGATCTTTTGATGTCTCGTGGAATCCAATCAGTAATGGCTCTAGTCCAGCGGTTGTCTGTAAACCTCATTACATGTCCAGCCCATCTGATTTTTGATGTCTTGGCAAATGAGACAGCGTCTCTGATTCTTGAGCGTTGACGAAGATCAGAACTCCGGATTCTATCTCTCATTTGAGTGAATCGTGATATTCCAAGCATAGTTCTTTCGATTCCTCTTTGAGAGACCCGAATAGTGTTCTCATCCTGTTTTCGTAGGGTCCAGGTCTCTGAGGCATATGTTAATGCAGGAAGAATAGTGGAATCAAAGAGATGTGCTCGTAGCTGGAGGTTCTTTGTCCTTTTAGTTATTTCTTCAATGCTCTTGAAGGCATTCCAAGCCGCTCTCTTCCTCCTGCGTAACTCAGGTGCCAGGTCATTCATCATGTTGATTTCTCGACCTAAGTATATATAACTGTTGCATTCGGAGATGGTGGTTCCGTTGAGAGCGAATGGAGCGTCAGGAACAAGGCTGTTTCTCATAAACATTGTCTTCGTAAGATTCAGTGTACATATATATGTATATATATTTATATATTTGATATTTGTATGCCAATCAATATACATTTATTTAAAACTGTGTTAAGTATGTACAGTCAGACATAGAGTGACCAAATGGTTCAAACGGATGTACCTATATATAGTTGAAGCCAAGAAAAGCAGTATAACCTTGGAAATAGAGATTCTCTTTTTATTTATGGTTAATGTTTACTGAGGTAATGCTGGTTTATTAGACTACATGTTTTAATTTTATACATTTTATACATCTTTATACAAAACAATTTTATACATCTTCAAACTATATGTTACTACACCATACCCATCAGTAAATATTAGTTACCTGCCACCATAGAACATAAATCACTCAAAATTTTTAGAACCTCCTTCCCCAACCCCCACCCACTGGCTTCACTTTTGTTCTTAGAGTTTTAGGATTTATTTCACTAGATATTGTCTTTTCCCTTACTTTGTTTCTTTTCCTACTATATTTAAGAGGGCTTGTTAGGAATTTGTCTTTCTACGGAATTATTTCACTCAATTTGACAGTTTTAAAACCCATATCATAGGAATAGATAAGACTTCTTTCTAGTATTTGAGTTGTATTAATTCTATTTTTAAATATAGTTCATCTTCTCTTTTGAATTACCTCAAAAAATATTTTTCTCAATTACTTATATCCTGAAAGTATAATCCTAATAGCACTGTAGCACTGTCCTCCCATTGTTCATCGATTTGCTCCAGTGGGCCCAGTAATGTCTCCATTGTGAGACTTGTTGTTACTGGCATATTGAATACGTCACAGGGAGCGTGCAAGGCTTTGCCCGGCGGGAGGCCGAGATATTCTCAGTAGCTCGCCGAGCTCTTTGATAAGGGCAGAGGAATCGAACCCTGGTTGGCCAGGTCAGCTGCATGCAAGGCAAAAATGCCCTACCTGCTGTGCTATCGCTCCAGCAGACATAATCCTAATAATGACCTGCAAATTTATAAACTGTTACTGGACTTATTGTTCTCTGGAGGAAATTGATAATATTGTTGCTGGACTTGTTCATTTCTGCACATGATTTCAGTGGAAGTCCTCCTTTATTATTCATATTCATGCAGAGACCCCAGAGAACATTAAAAAAAGGGGGCAAAGAGCATGTGTTCTGACATAATTGTCAACCTTTTTGGTGTAAAATAAAACACTCTTGTGGCTGATATAACTGCACAATTGTACAAGAAATGACTGACATGATCTGAGATAGCACTGTTACAGTTACCGTTTTGTTAACAGAACGTTGTGCATTAGTAGTGGCCGGTGTTGTTAAGTGCATACCTTTCAAGCCAGTTCATTAGATGCAGGTTCCCTTTTCCAGAATACCTACAATTTGCATTTTCATCATGTTACTAGTCCCTCACATGATTGACTTTGACTACTACCGTCATGGTCAAGGTAAAGCACTGACATACAAAATTAATGACTGCTGAAGCAGTCATTCATTTTTTTTCTCTTTTATTCTAATTTTCATAAAGCATTATAAATAATTCTATTATGCTATTTTTCCTAAATTGGGAATTTTGAAATGAAAAATACTATGTTTCATAATGTAAGTTTAGAAAAATGAGAATAGTTATTTTTAATGAATTATCATATTTGAGTTTAATATTTGGATGACTAGGAATAAATTATATGGGTAAAGCATTGAAATGATTTACAAACATATATTAATTTTTTTCAACATTTAAAAATGTTCACCAGGTTGTTTGACT